CAGAGATTAAGAGCACTGACTGTTCTTCCAGAGGTCCTGAGTTCAATTCCCAGCAACCACATGGTGGCTCACAACCATCTACAATTCAATCTGGTGCCCTCTTCTGGTATGCAGAACACTGTATATGTAATAAATAAAATAAATCTTCAAAAAATCACCTTCAAATTTCCAGGAATATTCTTCATGGAACTAGAGAAAAAAAAAACCAAACTAAAATTTCTTTGTAAACACAGAAGATCCCAAACAGCTAAAGCAATCCTTAGCGAAAGGTAATGCTGGAGGTATCATGTGCAACGCCTGATCTGAAATTATACTACGGAACTTTGTAACGAAACTCTCAAAGAACTGGCACAAACATGCACACACAGACCAATGGAACAAGACAGAATTTAGAACTAAACTAGTGTGGTCATCCCAATCTGAATCTTTTTTTTTTTTTTTCCTGAGATAGGGTTTCTCTGTGTAGGCTGAGATAGGGTTTCTCTGTGTAGCTCTGGCTGTCCTGGAATTTGCTATGTAGGCTAGGCTGGTGTCGAATTCATGCTGGATAGAGCTCTGTTTCCCTTGTAGACAGGCACAGAGACAGATTTCAGGCAACCAGGTCCTTGAGCAATGCAGACCGCTCCCAAAGGCAGCAACCCCTAGCCATCTGATTCTGAGAAGGCACCAAAAATGACACAATGGAGAAGAGACAGGATCGTCAACAAATGATCGTGGGGAAAGTGAATCTCCACCCACAGAAGAAGAGGAGCAGATCCTGGTCTTCTCACTCACACGAAAGCCGACTCAAAACAGATTAGAGGTCTTCTGTATGACCTGAAATGGCAAAAGTACTAGAGGAAAACATCTCAAGATACAGTGTTTGCAAAGACCTTTTTTTTTTGGTTTTTCGAGACAGGATTTCTCTGTATTGTTTGTCTCGAACTCACAGAGACCCACCTGCCTCTAGAGTGCTGAGATTAAAGGTGTGAGCCACCAATGCCCAGTTCTGTAAAGACCTTCTAAAAAGGACTCTAGTAGTCCTTGGAATAAAAGCAAGAGTGACAAACGTGTTTGCATAAAATAAAAAGGCTTTTGTGCAGCAAACAAAACAACAGAGTGAAGACACAGCCTACAGAATGGGAGAAGAATCTTCCAAGTTCTTTATCTTACAGGGAGTTAATATCCAAAATATATTTAAAAATTCACAAAATTTAAGTGTTGGGGTGCACCACGTAGTGCGGGTTAGTTGAAGAAAGAAGGCACTCCAAGAAGACTTTTTTTTTTTTTGCTTTTTCGAGTCTGTTCTGGAACTAGCTCTTGTAGACCAGGCTGGTCTTGAACTCACAGAGATCTGCCTGCCTCTGCCTCCGGAGTGCTGGAGTTAAAGGCGTGCGCCAGCATGCCCAGCAGAAATGAATTTCTCTAACCGAGGCAACTAGTTGCTTCCTCCTTAGTTTTGTGATTGGAACTAAGACAGCTGCCTGTTTTCTTGTAAAGTAATTATTTGAACTGGAACTGAGGTTGCGTTGGTGGCTGCACAGGTGACAAATGGAAAGAAAAGAGAACCCTGTCTTGTAGCTTTGAAAATAGGCAGATGCATCACAGACTTCTTAAAATACTTCAGTAGGCCAGGTGCTGGTGGTGCATACCTTTAATCACAGCAGTCGGGAGGCAGAGGCAGGTGGATCTCCGTGAGTTCAAGGCCAGCCTGGTCTACAAAGTGAGTTCCAGGACAACCTCAAAACAACACAGAGAAACCCTGTATTGAAAAAACAAAAAAAAACAAAAAAACAAAAAAAACCCCAAAACAACAACAACAACAAAAAAAACCACACACACACAAAAACAAAAAACTTCAGTAGGCCTTTGGCTGCTTGGTTTTGTCAACTTGACACAAACCAGAGCTGTGTGGGAATAGGACACGCAATTGAGGAACTGCCTAAATAAAATTGATCTGAGCCTAGGTCTGGGAGAGGCCATCTTGACAAGTGAATATGTGGGAGGGTCCAGCCTAGTCTGGGAGGCACCATCCCTCAGCTGGAGGACCTGGCCTATGTAAAAACAAGCAGGCAAACAAACTACCTAGCTACCTAGCTGAGCGTGAGTCTGAGAGCCAGCAGTAAGCAGCATTCCTCCAGTTTCTGCTTCAAGCTCCTGAACTGAGTACCTGTCTTGACATCCCTCAATGGCAGACTATGACCTGAAAGTGTAATACAAAAATCCTTTGTGGGGGCTGGAGAGACAGCTCTAAAGAAGGACCCAGGTTCAGTTCCCAGTACTGACCTGACACCTCACAACTGTCTGTAACTCCAGGTCCAGGGGATCTGACACCCTCATACAGACATTGATGTGGACAAAATGCCAATACAAGTGAAATAAAAATAAATAAACATTAAAAAAAAAGACCCTTTGTGATGGGCTATTCTTGGTTGTCAACTTGACCGAATCTGGATTTAACTAAAACCCCAAAATGTCAGGGCATACCTGTGAGGGATTGTTGCTTAATTTGAAGTGGATTTCTTCTTCTTCTTCTTCTTCTTCTTCTTCTTCTTCTTCTTCTTCTTCTTCTTCTTCTTCTTCTTCTTCTTCTTCTTCTTCTTCTTCTTCTTCGAGACAGGGTTGCTATGTGTAGCTTTATAGACCAGGCTGACCTCAAATTCATAAAGATCTGCCTGCCTCTGCTTCCTGAGTGCTGGGATTAAAGGCATGTGCCAGTACCACCCAGCTCTGTAAATCATTCTAATATATATATATGCATATATATATATTTCTATAAGTTCTGTCATTCTAGAGAACTCTAATACCTTTTCCTCCCTAAGTGGTCAGAGTGTTTTACTACAGCAACATAAAAGGTTACTGGAGCCGCCTTGTAAACCCTATATTGGACTTCTGACCTCCAGGACTGTAGGATGGTAAATCTGTGTTGTTTCAGACCCTTGACATTGTTACTAAGTTGTTACTGTAGCAATAAGAAACTAGCACAGGGAGGTGAAAAGGCAGTTTCTGTGCAACATGTAACACACAATTGTTGAATTTCTTTTAAAGATGTTTGGACTTTCTATTCTATGTAGACTTGAGACAAAAAGATTTTAGAACTCCCATCAAGAAGTTAGGATAGTTGGACATGGTGGCACATGCCTTTAATCCTAGCACTTGGGAGGTAGAATCAGGCAGATCTCTGAGTTCTGAGTTCCAGGACAGCCTGGTCTACAAAGTGAGTTCCGGTACAGCCAGGGCTACACAGAAAAACCCTGTCTCAACCAACCAAACAAACAACCAACCAACCAACCAACCAACCAACCAACCAACCAACCAATCAACCAACGAAACATTGAGATCAAAGTATCCACACAGTGGAAGGAGAGAAATGATTCACAAAGTTGTCCTCTGATTTCCATACATGAGCCATGGCATGGCCTGGCCATACAACATGCACAGGCACAACATAAGTAAAAATAAGAGCTAGAGTTATCACATGTTTTCTTTCAAATTTTGAAAATTGTCAAGTAGAAAGGTACTTTGAAGTTACATTTGAAAAATCATCAAAGCTTTTTTTTGGGGGGATGGGGGCGTTCAAGACCCTGGCTGTCCTGGAACTCACTTTGTAGACCAGGCTGTCTTCAAACTCATGGAGATCTGCCTGCTTTTGCCTCCAGAGTTCAGGGATTAAAGGTACATGCCACCACCTCCCTGCAGCAACCAAGACTTAATAGCTATATAACAAGAACAGATGGTTTACTGATGATTTCAGACCAGCCTGCATCTGGTGCCCTTTAAAAAACAAACAAATATTCATTTATTTGTTGGCAGGGTTGAGGGTAGCCAGAGGTGCTCAGTAGACGGAGGACTACTTAACAGCAATCGGTTCTCTTCTTTTATCCATGAGAGTGCTAGGGACTGAATTTATCTGGCTTCACAGCTAGGACCTTTACCGGCTGAGGGGCCTGGTGAATTTTTCTTTCTTTCTTTCTTTCTTTCTTTCTTTCTTTCTTTCTTTCTTTCTTTCTTTCTTTCTTTCTTTTTTTTTTTGGTTTTTCGGGACAGGGTTTTTCTCTGTATTGTTTTGGAGGCTGTCCTGGAACTCGCTCTGTAGATCAGGCTGGCCTGGAACTCACAGAGATTCACCTGCCTCTGCCTCCCAAGGGCTGGGATTAAAGGCCTGCGCCACCAACGCCCGGCTCTGGTGAATTTTTCAATGGGAAGGAAAGAAATGGGTGAGGCTGTTGGAAATAGAGAGAGGTCTCTGAATCACATACCGCTGTCAAAGGGTGTGTGTGTACCTTTACGAGCGACGTAACCCCTAGTTAAATCACTTATGTTCTATTAGGCCTTAGTCCTCTATCTGTAAAGTGGGATGTTTGGACCTAAGGACACCTTTTTAAGCTTCCCTTCTAGTTCAGCATTCTGAACCCAGGAGCACCTAGATTTTAGATACATTTACTTTTTTTGTATGAGCTCTAAAAGGAAGTTAGACGCCTCGAAAGAAAACCTCCTGCAGATATAAAGAGGAAAAAAAAAGCAAGGGCAATGGGGGAGGAAGGAGGATGAGAAGAAGCGAAAAGACACAACTGACTATTACACTGATAAGAGATGCAAGCATGAAATACACAAATAACTCAAGGTACACATAGATACAAAATTTGGTTGTCTTTAGAAGCAAAAATAAGACATTGCCCTGGGCATCACATTTTGTTTTTAATTGTGCACACACAATAACTCCCACCTCTCGACGCCTCGGAAGAAAAAAAAAAGTAGGAAAAACTGAAAGCGTAAAATATTTTTTTTAAAGAAAAAAGGGCAAGAAGCAGCTAGAAACGGTAGTCTCCGGACACAAGCGGGCTGCTCCGGCAGGCGGAACGGCAATTTCCTGTGCCACCCCGCCATCCTGCCGCTTAACCCTGCACACAAAAGAACAGTGAGAACCCCGGGAGTCGCAGCGTCCCCTCCACCCGGTCCCCAGGCCGGCCCGCTGGGGCCGCTGCGCCCTCGTCTCCGCCCCTCGGAAGTGACGTATCGTGCCCCGCCCCCACCGCTAGATCCGCTGCTGCTGCCTCGGCGGGCCGACCTGCAGGAGGAGGTGGCGGCGGCGGCGGCGGCGGCCCAGTCCGAGGGAAGATGGCGGACGGCGTGGACCACATAGACATTTACGCGGATGTGGGCGAAGAGTTCAACCAGGTACGGGAGGGTCTGGGCTCCGCCGCGGACGCGGACGCTGCGGCGGCCTGGACGCTCGCCACCAGGGTGGCCGCGGGAGGGCCGCGAGCCGGGCTCGGCTGCAGACCGTGCGCCCTTGGCGCCTCTGGGCCGCGCCGCTGTGTGAGTGTGTGCGCGGCGCGGCGCCCCCTCACCCCCTGTTCTCGCGCGTCGTTTACGCGGGCCGCGGGCTCTGGAGCGCGGGGCCCGGTCGCCGTGCAGCCGCCCGCCCGCTCGCCCGCCGGCCGGCTCGCCCGCCCCTTCCTCGAGGCGGCCTCACGCCCCATTGTTGGCTACGGTGGCGGGCGCTTCCCGCCGAGCTAGGCCGCGTGTGCGGGGCGGGGGAGAACGGGCCGCCGCGCCCCCTCCCCCGCCGCCCGCCTGATGGTGGGGGGGCAGCAGCCCTGGCTGGCCCGGCGCGCGCCCGCCCGCCCGTCGCCTCCATCCCGGCCCTGCCGCTCGGGTTCCGATTCCTCCCGTCGCTCCATTTTGTGTCTCTTGTCCGCGCACGGTCGCCCTCATGGAAGGCCGCGTTCACAGCCCTTTGTATCCCGCGCGCCGAGTCTCCCGGGCTCCTTTGCTCGCGTTGGCGACAGGTTTCGGCGTGGCGCCCGGGGTCCGGGGTCCCTCTCGGCCCCGGCCCCCGAGGCGGGGAGGGAAGGCGGCTTAGGTGTGGGTACGTCTGCAACAAGTCATCTGACTTCTGGACCCACTGAGCTCATTTTGAAAAAGTCGCACGGTGCGATGGCCCGCCGTGGCCATCGAGGGCTTGGGGGGCCTTTGAGGCCCGGTCCTTGGCCTTTGTGAAGGGAAATAATAATCTGGGAAGATAAATGACTTGCGCTAAAGACTTGGGTGCGCGGTGGTTGGACGGAACAAAAAGATGGTGGTCCTTCGCTAACAGATCCGGGAGGTTGAAACGGAGAGCGTCCACCCGACATCCTTACCGTGGTGGCTTGCTTACGAGTCGTCGTGGAGGTGACTGTGCTTTGAAAACCAAGTCTTTGCCCCGTGGGGCTCTACTTCACGATTTGAAAGGCTTGAGAAAGTGAGAAGTGTAAGGTTTTCCGGTCTCACCGGCTACGGTCGCCTAGAACTAGCTGGGATGTCTGATGGTGAACATCCTTGGACAGGTCTAGTTAGTAACGTTTAGCCTCTTACTTACTCCTCTTCGTATGTTCACGTTTTTTTTCAAGTTGCACCCAACGATAGTGCCGCTAAAAGCTGTGGGCTTTTTCTTTTTATTTAATTTTTTATTAAAAAATTCCATGTTCAAATGAGAAGCTTAATAAGATGCCATTTATTAATATGCCTACCTTCTAATCGTATTTATGACTAGGGATGCAAGATTAAAAACAAAACAGTGAACACCCTTAAATCCTTACTGCTTTGTTTTTCAACAATGACAGTGCCTCTGGTTTAAATATTAGAAAAGAGAAGCAAATTTTGATAGGGTTTAATTATTACTGACTTAGAAACTAGATATTTTAAAATGTAATTAGCCCTTTGCAATAAAAAACGTTAAGTTTGAAAATCAGTTTTTTTAATCGTGCCTGAATTGTCAGTTACAACTTAGAAATGTTTTTTTTTGAGTGCTGCCCAAATTTCAGTGCATTTAAGATCAGTAGATTAAGACGTCGGGGTTTTTTTCCCTTTCATCTATCAAGGCGTATAGCATTTGCAAAACACTGTCATAACTATGACTAAGGGAAAAATAAAAGTTTGAAACAGTTTTCATTAGTTTTTTTTGTTTTTTGTTTTTTAGTAGTTCTTTCCAAAGACGGGATTTTTCTGTGTAGCTCTGGCTGTCCTAGAACTGTGTAGACCAGGCTGGCTTCAAACTCAGAACTCAGAGATCTGCTTGACTCTGCCTCCCAAGTTCTGGGATTAAAGGCATGAGTCACCACTGCCTGGTTATCATTCACTTTTTTCTTTTTCTTTCTTTCTTTCTTTTTTTTTTTTTTTTTTTGGTTTTTCGAGACAGGGTTTCTCAGTATTGTTTTGGAGGCTGTCCTGGAACTCACTCTGTAGACCAGGCTGGCCTCGAACTCACAGAGGTCCACCTGCCTCTGCCTCCCAAGTGCTGGGATTAAAGGTGTGCACCACCAAAACCCGGCTTCATTCACTTTTTTCAATCAGAGAACATATTGCTTTGTTTTTGTGCTCTCAGTAAGGAGGAATTGGGGTACAGTTTTAGCACACCTTTAATCCCAGCACTCAGGAGGCAGAGCGGATCTCTGTGAGTTCCAGGCCAGCCTCCAAAACAATACAGAGAAACCCTGTCTCGAAAAACCAAAAAGCAAAAAAAAAAACAAAAAACAAAAAACAAAAAAACAAAACAAAACCAAAAAAACAGACTATGTCTACTTTAAATAGTAAATGGAGAACAAGACTAGTGTCTACACAGAATTTCAGAGAACACAACGTACAATTAAAACTGCTGCTCACAATAGAGAACAAAAGATGTGTTTAGGGCTTGAGAGGTGGCTCAGTGGTTAGAGGCCAGCCTGCTCTACAGTGTGAGAGCCTGTCTCCGAAAGAAAAGAAAGATAAGCTTTCTTTGGTATCTCTATGAAATACATCCAGACTGTTGAATACTTGGGAGGGGTAGTATAGTATACTTATGCTATAACTGGACATGGTGCTAGCTAGCAGGAGGTCAAGAAGAGGTAATACTTTTGACTCCAGTGAGGAACTACTTTCTAGGCTTCCTTTTTATAAATGTAGTTTTCATTGACTTGTACCTTCACCGTTGTGTCTAATACATGGTCGTGTAATTTTACAAGGAAAATCTTTGTAGGTTTAAATAGATTAATTGGGAGGGTAAGTGGAGGCTTTTTCCAAAAGTCCATGTTTGCAGCTGTGGGGACTGACCCCAGGCCCTAGCACGTCTAGGTGAGCACCACTGAGCTGTTTGCTCACTCCATCTGCATCACTTGTTAGTGCTTGCTCTGAATTTCTGAACCAAAAAAGTAGCCACCAAGAGATGGGTCATGTTTTCTATGGATGTTCCTATCATTATTGAAGTGTTTTTATGAGATCCTACCAGAATTAGAAGCAACAACAAAATTATTGTTGATTGATTTACTCTCCCTCTCTCTCTTGCTTGTTTTTTCTGTCTTGTAGCTCAGGTTGACCTAGAACTTGCTGTGTATTCTGGCCTGCACCTTTTGTGGTGCAGCTGCTGCCTCAGCCTCTCCAGTGCTGGGATCTCAAACCTGTGCAAGCCATCAGGCTCAGTTGTCCCCTTTCCCTCCACTCAGGCCCTTGCACATGCTAGGCAAACACGCTATCCTCCTGTGCTGCATCCCTAGTAATCTCCTCTCACTAGGTGGTAACCTTATTTCTACTAGCTGCTATAGTTACCAATGTGATATTTGATTGTCACTGAGCAAATATTTTTCAAAACTAATCATTAGCAATTTTAATTATTTTGGTTTCTAAACATTTATAAATATTAGGTTTTTTTTAACTCTGCTGGGCAGTGTTGGTGTATGCCTTTTTTTGTTTGTTTTGTTTTGTTTTTTGTTTTTCGAGACAAGGTTTCTCTGTATTGTTCTGGAACTCACTCTGTAGACCAGGCTGGCCTCGAACTCACAGAGATCCTCCTGTCTCTGCCTCCTGAGTGCTGCGATTAAAGGCATGCGCCACCAATGCCCGGCCTGGTGTATGCCTTTAATCCCAGCATTAGGAAGGCAGAGGTGGGCAGGATCTCTGAGTTTGAGGCCACTGCCTCTGCCTCCTGAGTGCTGAGATTAAAGGCTTGAGCCACTGCTGCCTGGCTGTGAGCTGCAGTTTTAATTGTATTTTGTATTCTCTGAAATTCTGTGTCTTGTTTTGCATTTTGGCAAAACACAATATTGCATAAAGTATGAGACATGAGTATTAAACACTTTTATTTGGGGTGGGATGGGACTAAGTGCATTTATTTTGTATATGAGGTGATTTTTAAGACTGGGGAATGAAGACAAGAAGGTACAGAGACATGGGGAGCTTAGATCTTAAAAGTCTTTGGATGTGGCCAAATGGAGAATAGTTGCTCAGTGGAAGGAGAGTTTGAAATACTTCTGAATTTGTGCATTTCTACTAAATTTCAGTTAAATAGAAAGCAGAATGCCCCCCTCCAGATTTATTCTTTTATGTGCATGAGTGTTTTTGCCTACATGTATGTATTTGTATGTGCATTCCTGGTGCCTGTCGAGGTCAGAGTAAGGCATCAGATCTGTTGGAATTGGAGTTTACAGGTGGTTGTGAGCCACCATATGGGTGCTAGGAACTCATCTCTCAAACCCAAGTCCAAAACGCTTTGAGTATCATAGTTGTTTTTTTTAAATTAGGTATGCTCAAGTTATATTCTGTAATCCAAATAGTATATATTTTTTGTTTATCAGGGGTTCAGATGCTGTTAATGTAGAATTTAGTGTCTGCTCTGTCAGACTGTGGGTTATTGATAGTAAGCAGTGCTGATTTAGTAGATCTGCTCACTTTAAACTTAAATGGAGATAATGACTGGAGTTCCCTTCATTAAGGATTTAGATGTCCTCTTGTGTCAAATTTTATTGAATCATTTCAATTTACACTTAGTTATTGTATATTATAAATCAAGTATTTTTCCTGTGGAACCTTATGATAACTTAATGAAAACAGTTGAAAGATAAATCAATAGGAGCTGTTAAGATCTAATTTAACATGCAGGAATTATAATATTAATATGCTTAGCATATTCATAAAGTAATGTTTTCTGGGAAAAAAGGATCCACATTTTCTATATCCAAGAATTCAGCTGGGATCTAAAATACTGACTGGGTGAGATTGCACATGCATTTCTTTTTTTTTTTTTTTTTTTGGTTTTTCGAGACAGGGTTTCTCTGTGGCTTTGGAGGCTGTCCTGGAACTAGCTCTTGTAGATCAGGCTGGCCTCGAACTCACAGAGATCCGCCTGCCTCTGCCTCCCGAGTGCTGGGATTAAAGGCGTGCGCCACCAACGCCCGGCTGCACATGCATTTCTATGTACAGACTTCTTACCATTATTCCGTAAGCCAGTACAGCATAATCACTTTTTCCATAAGCGTTTACTGTGTTAGGAGTTTTAAGAAGTCTAGAGATTAAAGTATATGAGAGGATGTATAGTTTATATGTAAACACTGCACCATTTTATATAAGAGGTTTAAACATCTGCAGGTTTTGGTGTTCTTGAATGGGTTGGGGATATGTTGGAACCAGTCTCTTGCTGGGTTTATGTGCTAATTTTTCTCTTGCATGGCATTGAACACCTTTTGTAATGCAGAGTATAGCTCCCCCATCTCTTAGAGTTCTTTAAATAGAATGACTTAATATTTTTTTAAAATAAGGGTATTTTGAAATAGGTACTGTCCTTTACTGGTAGTCTCCAATAATGCACATAAGGTATTAACTGTGATTCTAGGAACACCAAAAACAGTGTTGGGCCTATCAGGGAAAATGAATACTTTTAATAGCTCTATTAGAATAATCCCAATAATAGTATACATTATATACAACTTATCTGTGGTATTAAAAATGTATTGGGGGGGCCTGCAGAGATGACTCAGGTTAAGAGCACTGGCTGTTCTTCCAGAGGTCCTGAGTTCAATTCCCAGCAACCACATGGTGGCTCACAACCATCTGTAATGAGTTCTGGTGTCCTCTCCTGGCCTGCAGGGATATGTGTAGACAGAAAACTGTATACATAATAAATACATCTTTTAAAAATCGATAGGGTGTGATTAGGTGAAAACTGTCTAATAACTTGAAGGGAGATAGTGCTAATAAAAAAGATTAAAACATTGCCTTAAGAAAATGAATGGGATTTTGGTCATTTTTCTATCCATTATACCTTTTTTGATTTTTATTTTACCCACATGTATGTCTGTATGAGGGTGCCAGATTTCTCAGAACTGGAGTTACAGACAGTTGTTAGCTGCTATGTGTGTGGGTGCTGGGAATTGGACCTGGATCCTGTGGAAGAGAAGCCAATGCTCCTAACTTGAGCCATCTCTGCAGCCCCCATCATACTTTTTAAGTGTATTCTCCCACTGGGCAACAGTTCTGTGTCTCTTGTAGGAAGATAACAGTCCTATATTGTAAAAGAGAAGTGCACCCCCCTTTCCCTTTTTTTTTTATTTCCCTTTATTTCTTTTTTCTTTACTTTAAAGCAACTGTCCCATACTGGCCTCATTTATGGTAGTCTTCTGCCCCAGCCTCCCAAATGCTAGGGTTACTAAAGCTGAGTATACAACCATTACTGGATTTTGATAACTACATGTCATTAGAATGATTGTAGTGATTTAGAATAGTAGGAATTTAAAGAAAACACTTTGTTGCTCTTTTCACAAACCCTAAGAGTTGTTCTCTTTGTTTTTTTTTTTTTTTTTTTGAGACAGTCTCACTGTGTCTTGGAAACCAAACTAACCCTGAATTTACCTGTGTCTGCCTTCAAGTGCTGGATTAAAGGCATTTGACATTATTCCCTGTCTAAGAGTTGTTCTTGCTAGAAGTTTAGAGATGCAACTTTATTGATGATTAGGGTCTAGAAACATGGGTTGAGAAACAGATGGCTTTTGGAATTTGAAATGGTTAGGATATGTTGAAATTTTGCATTTTAGGATGCCATTGAAATGTCTTTGAAAAAGACTTTTCACAAAGCAGAACTTGATGTTGACTTTCTTTGACAAAGTAAAACCTTTTAGTTTGTTTAGTAGGGTTTGAGAGTTCACTTTTATATGACCTGTGATAGGCATTTTGCATAATTTCTGAATATGCTCATTTTCACTTTAAGTAGAAACAGTTACATGTGTTCTGGATTTTCTCTAGAATGTGAACAGTACTTAAAATAATGAAGCTAAAAATAGGGAAGACTACAGATACCAATAAGAATATTGTTTGAATTACATTCTTAGCAATGGTAATTATGTATTCAGCTTCATTAATGTTTTTTCACCAAGTCCAATGTATACCGTTGGGGTTAAAACAGGCTGTGGCCTTGGAACACAGAGAAGCTAACTAGTCCACATGGAGATCAAACTCCAGGGCCGTGATCTCAGTTAACATCATTTCAAGTTGGATTGGAAGCAGTCCAACTACCAGACAAAATGGCTGATTCTAAATAGTGATAGAGTATTATGAATATGGAAAATATGATTGGTGTCATGGGCATTAAAAAAAAGTGTAATGCACCAGGTTAGTGTAGTTTCAATTACTGACTGTAAATGAAAGTAGAAACTTAAGTACTTTTAGTCTTGTATTTAGTAACCCTTGCATTCCTTTTTACTCTTCCAACTATATTTGATTAATCTTTGTTGAGGATGAAAACACCATTTCCTTTGAATAATTAGAATAATTTTACTTGGTGTACAGAACCAGATTGCAAGAGAGTTTTAAAGTCCTCATGTATGGGGCCACTGTTGGAGCCACATCATCAGAAGTTTCGGCCACTTTGAAACTTTGTCACCATCCTCATCGTTTTTTTGTAATTTTACTGTCAGCGCAGTTTGCATGGGCTTCATTGTTTAATAAAAACCCATTACATATATTATTTTGGCATTGTTCACTAAAATCAATGCATTATTCAGTGACTAGTGGTCTTAGTTTCTGCCTGTTAATGGAACAATGCAGATTAAAAGGAGCAATCACTAACCTGGGAAGTGCTCTGCCCTCCGAAGCACAGCCAACATCCAAGAGAGAGAGAGTGAGTGCCCACTGAATCTTCCCACTTACACGACACGTGATCAGGCCCCAGGGGGCGGGTCAGCTGCAGGTACCTGGTCTCTCCCTACATCTGCCTTTTGCCGAAGGAGGCTTTTTGTTCTTTCATTTACCTTGGTATTTTACTTGGTATTTTAGGTCTTAGTTGGTATGTAATAGCTTGATTTTTTTTTTTTTTTTACTTGTTTGGTTGGTTGTGTTTTAATTTACAGAGATCTGCTTGCCTCTGCCTCTTGAGTGCTGGGATTAATGACTTGCTACACCACCACCCGGCTTGATAAATTTTAAAAGGTTACATGATCAAATAAAACAGTTTTTTTTCCTTGGTCATTATTATAGTCCCTAAAACTCTTGTTTGTCATGTGACAGTTCTTAGTAGATTGCATACATGGGAGAACTTGAATTATGCCATTATATCTGAACTCTTAAATAGTTTTGTATTATTTTTATCTCAAATTTATTTCAGAAGGGTAAAATAGTTCACGTTGATATACTTAGTCTTAAAAAAGGGATATTTGCAAATTGAATTACCTTTTTTTTCTCACATCCATTTCTCTTCTGCCTGACTTATCACTTAGGCATGTAAGTAACATCTTACTTAGCATTGCTTTAATTCTTCTGTGACAGTGACCCAGTTTTACTAGATTTAGTGTGGATTACTTTTCACTTGGCTAGATTTTAAAAATCAGTTAAACAGTAGCTCTTTGTCTACTGAGAATAATACAATTACTGCAAAATATTACTTTGAATATCCGTTTTATTTATTTATTTATTTTATTTTATTTTATTTTTTTTGGTTTTTCGAGACAGGGTTTCTCTGTGGCTTTGGAGGCTGTCCTGGAACTCACTTTGTAGACCAGGCTGGCCTCGAACTCACAGAGATCCGCCTGCCTCTGCCTCCCGAGTGCTGGGTATTTATAGTTTTTTGTTTCACTAAATATTTAAGAGTTTTTGAAACATGTATATGTTACCCCCCTTTTTTTGGTTCCATTTCTATGGCTTAGCTTATAAAATAGTAGCTTTCTCAGAGTTGGTAAACAAGATGTGATTACCAAAGAAAATGCTGGAGTTTTTGCCTGTGGTCACATATTGAAGAATACCTCTGATTTTTGTGACAAGTCTTATGACAACTATTCTTTTGAAACATTGGTTTTCATTTATGTGTTGTTACTTTCAAGGAAGGCATTAAAGCACCATTGAGAAGAGACTTGCATTAAGGTCTTTGAGCCTTTTTCTGTCTTGTACCAGATTTTTAAAATAAGAAAGTTGAATGAATTTGTACTCAGATTTATTTGGTATTCTGTCTGTCATATAATCTACAACACCATTTCTGTGTCTTAGGAAGCAGAATATGGTGGGCATGATCAGATAGATTTGTATGATGATGTCATCTCTCCATCTGCAAATAATGGCGATGCCCCAGAAGACCGGGACTACATGGATACTCTTCCACCAACTGTTGGTGATGATGTGGGGAAGGGGGCAGCACCAAACGTTGTCTATACTTACACTGGAAAGAGAATTGCATTGTATATTGGAAATCTGACATGGGTAAGTAAAGTTAACAGATTATTGGTGGTTCATTTTGAACTGCTCCAGTATTCCATGCTTTTTTGCCCAGTTGTAAAAAATACTGACATTACTGTATATTTGTTTTTTTCTTGTTAACCTATGTGATGAGAAGGGCAAAAACGAAGTTCTTTTAAAATGACATTTCAATTATTCTATTTTGAATTTTATAGTTTGGTTTAGGTATATACTTTTTTTTTTTTTTTTTTTTTTTGGTTTTACGAGACAGGGTTGCTCTGTATTGTTTTGGAGGCTGTCAATCCAGCCTGGCCTTGAACTCACAGAGATCCGCCTGCCTCTGCCTCCCGAGTGCTGGGATTAAAGGCGTGCGCCACCACCGCCCCGCTAGGTATATACTTAAATAAGAGTTTACATTTTTCTTTATATTCTTTTTCTTCATTCTTACCAGTTTCACTAAGGGGTTTCAAAGTAAGAATTCAAGATTATAGGAGAAAGAGAGAAAGAAGTCTTCATTTTCTAATTCATATTACAGATTTAAGTTTCATTTCTGTTCTTAAATTTGAAATTAATGGATAGAAGTATGCTTTATAATATTTGTGCTTGCCTGTTTTGTTTTGAGATGGATCTTGTTATGTAATTTTGACTGGCCTTGACTGGCCTACTATTCACTATAGTCCAGACTGGCTTTGAACTCCTGTCAGTTCTCCTGCTTCTGCACTTTGAGTGCTAGGCTTATAAGCATATGCCACAGTGCCTGGAATATGCTTTGTACTTTAATTGAGTTGTCCATAAGACTAAGTTGTGTGCTTCATTAGCTATATGCCTAGCGTATCTATTAATGTTCTTATTAGCATCAAACTTGAATAATCACTAAAGTGTTCCTATAAACATTTTTATCTGAGCTATTATATTAAAATTTAAAAGTTACAGCAAAATTTTGACTTCTTATCTATTTATAGCAGACTATTTTATTTGAAAATATTTTATTTCACATTGCTTTTGTGTTTTCATTTTATTTTATGTATATAGGTATTTGTGTCTGCATGTCTGTGTACTCCATATCATGCAGTCCCTCAGAGGCCAGAAGAGGGCATCATATTCCCTGGGACTCGAGTTACAGATGGTTGTGAGCCATCATGTGGGTGTTGGGAGTTGAGCCTAGAGTCCAATGAGCCATCTCTACATTTTTTTTTAAATAAACTAAATGATTGAGTCTCCTGTCATCCAGTCTGAACAATCTTTTTACAATCTTGGAAGCAATGGTAGTATAAATAAGAGTTGGTATATATCCGTGTTTTGTGACTTTGAATAAACTGTTTATTTCCTCTGTTGCCTCTTATGAAAAATGAAAGTAATGGGACTTAGGTAAGTGTTAAATATTTGATAAAAAGATACATAGTAGCTATTCATTCATGTTGGTTTCTCCTTATTATAGTCAAGCATAAGCTGTTTGTTTCACAAGATACTAAATGGGAGGAAGTTACAAGTGAGATTGGTTTTATTGAAAATTTAAAATCATAAGGAGTTTAAAGCTGGAAGAAACCAGAAACTGTTTCATTTTTTTCCAATACAGGGTTCTCTGTGTAGCCCTGGATGTCTGGAACTCATTCTGTAGACCAGTCTGGCCTCAAACTCACAGAGATCTGTCTGCTTCTGCCTCCTGAGTGCTGGAATTAAAGGTGTGCATCACCACACCTGACTAGAAACTAGAAAATCTTAAGTAAAATTGCATTTGTCTTCCAGAGCGTGTACTTTACTTGGTCATTTCCAAAACTCCTATTAGGAAATGAAGTTAGGCACTCAAGAGCTTTTCTGCTGTTTAAAAATTGAAGGCTGGCGGGAAGTAATTGTACTTAGACTTGCACTAAACAATTTTTCTTATCATTTGTTTTCCTTTAAAAGTTAAATGTTTTTGACAATAAAAACCTGAATCTATTTTAATGGCTAATAAGGGGAAAATGTCTTGCAGTGGACAACAGATGAGGATTTAACTGAAGCAGTTCATTCTTTGGGAGTAAATGATATTTTGGAGATAAAATTTTTTGAAAATCGGGCAAATGGACAATCAAAGGGGTAAGAATTTCATTTTCTTCCTGATATAAACTGTTAGTGAGTACAGTTTACAAATTAGTTTTCTGTGTTTTATCATTTATTTATCTATATATCTATTTATCTATTTATTTATTGTTTTTCGAGACAAGGTTTCTCTGTGGCTTTGGAGGCTGTCCTGGAACTCACTCTGTAGACCAGGCTGGCCTCGAACTCACAGAGATCCACCTGCCTCTGCCTCCCGAGTGCTGGGATTAAAGGCGTGCGCCACCAATGCCCGGCAGTTTTCTGTGTTTTAATGCTGGTTATATACATGTAGAACACATGAACACATAAGCACTGACAAATGGCTTAGATACTAAAGATACATGTGCTGCACAAACCTGACAGCTTGAGTTAGTTCCTGGGAACCCACGTGAACACACAGGAAGGATGATCTCGGGCAGAGTTTCATACTTAAAATTTATATTTCTTGTTTCTTGAAAGTATGCTAGAGCTGGTTGAGATGGGGCTGTGGACAGACTAGGCCTGTTCCTACATTTACTTAGTACACTGCTTCTAAGATGACATTGTTGAGAAGCATTGTATTTATTTAGTGAAGAGATAAGGATTATGGAGCTCAGTGGTAGAACCACTTACATAATGTGGACTAGCTCTGGGTTTGCTTTGATTCTAGTGTCATAAAAATGAAAATGATGAAGAAAGGTAGGTAACTGAAGATTAAATGTCACCTAGGTATCTTGCTTCATTTCCCTAATCAGCAAATCACACACACAGACTAGTATTATTATATAATGCAGTTATCTAAAAGTAAGAAAATGAATAGCTACAATTTCACCATTTACAGATAATCACTCTAATAAATATGCCTCCACATTTCCCCCTAAATAATAGTATTATAATTCATACTTTGTCATGTTTGAAACATCAAGAACAGAAGAAATAGTGATAAATATCTTACTTTTATTTTCAGATATTATGATTGTTTACACTTGTGTCTATTATAAATAATATATTAGGCACATTTTTGGATATTTTACATTTATTTTATGTACGTGAGTACAATACAATACTTTTAAGAAACATGCTTAGAAAGTTAAGCAACCATTGCACCTCTAGTTTCAGAACATTTTATCACCTCCATCCCCAAAGAAACCCTGGCTTCATTAGCATTACCTTGATGATCACCATTGTCCCTTTTGCTGACAGCCATTCATGTACTTTTTGCCTCAGAGTTTGCCTACTCTGGGTATTTTGTGTAAACAAAGTAGTAATAATGACGCTCTTGTGTCTGACTTCTTTCACGTAGTATAATCTTTTCAGTGTGGCAGCATTAGCATTTCTTATGCCTGAGTAATAGTCCCATAGAGTGGGGTAGCACTGAAGGAAGAATCTATAATCCATGTTTGGGTGGTTTCTACTTATAGATTATTAAGAGGAATGTCTAAGTCTGTTTAACATTTTGAGAAGTTACCAGACTGCACAGTCACCATCAGTGCAAGAGGATTAGTTTCTCATTATCTTCACCAGCACTGAATAGTTGTCATTTTGATTATAGTGGGAAATTACATCTCAGTATGGTTTTTGATTTGTACCTAATGGCTAATGATACTGAGTATCTTCTTTTAAAAATTATTAATTATGTTATGTGTGTGGGTGTTTTGACTCCATGTGTACTCTGTGTATACCTAATGCCCATGGAGACCAGAGGAGGGAATTGGATCCCCAGGAACTTGAGCTATGAACAGTTGAGCCACCATGTGGGTGCTGGGAATCAAACCTGAATCCTCAAAGAAAAGACAGTGTTAACCACTGAGCCATCTCTCCAACCCCTATGCCAAAATATCTTTTTGTGGCAATAAAAAGTAAAAACAATCCAAGTGCCTATTGACTGATGGGTGTATTTAAAACAAAGCCAGAAAACAATGACTATTATGGAACATTAGTTAGCCACTAAAAGAAATGAATTAGTGATTTTGCATGTTGTAACATGACTAGACCTTGAACACTAAGTGAAGCTGACTGTAAAGTACTTATATATATTCCGTTTATTTGAAAGTCCAGATCATAGAGAACAACATAGTTACAGTTCCCTGTGTTTTAGGAATGGGGGCAGAGGTTATGGATTTTCTCTTGGTAATGTTGAATGTTATGAAACGTTATGATATGATGTTTGTAAAACACATGAATCATATGCTAAAAAATTACTGAATTGCACATTTAAGTGAGTAAATTTTGCAGGACATTATAAAAGATAGTATAAGCTTCTGTAGCTTTAAGAAAGAGTCGTAAGAGAGACCATTTCTTCTTTTAATCAATGGTGACAGTCTCAGTTCCTCCTTTTTATTCCCACCCTCTTAACATCTTTTAGATTTGCCCTTGTTGGTGTTGGATCTGAAGCATCTTCCAAAAAGTTAATGGATTTGCTGCCTAAAAGAGAGCTTCATGGTCAAAATCCTGTCGTGACTCCTTGCAATAAGCAGTTCCTGAGTCAGTTTGAGATGCAGTCCAGGAAAAGTAAGCACGTCTCTCAGCAGTGCTGCTGACATTTGTTAACTATTACACTTACTATTTAGTTTGGACGAACTTGAATTAATCATGGGTTATGACTATGGGCCAGTATACTGGAAACCTATTTCCATTCCGTTTTTTTTCTAGCTGTCACAGACCCAGCTTTGTGCAGCAGTTTGAGAGCTTTATGGTGATGCCATTCTTGTCCTGTCACTCACATCTTAGTCAGGAGGAGTGCTATATGGATATATGTATCGATGGGGATAGAAAGGCTAATGATAACCAAGAAATAGTCACTTTTCCCCTGCTCTGCACCAAGACCTGTTATTACTTGGTAAATAAATGTAGAAGAGATTTGTCATTACACGCTTTCAAAAAAAAAGATAAGGTGGATGAGCCATGTAATTAATAGAAATACAACTGGTTACTTTTGCTTTAATTTTTTAGCATTTAAAATTTAGCTGAAGAATATATGTTGCATGGCATAAAAATAATCTGTGATTAAAATTACTCTTGAAGAATTTCTGTCTTGGCTGCTGTAGAGTACTGGTATTTTAAAAGCAATGTGTATTCATTGAAAGTCCATTTAGACTTGAATATTTCAAGACTTTTAAGAAAGTATTTAAATAGATGTGAATGTTTTCCTAGCCAAGTACTTTGCATAGGCCCAAGTCATTGCAGATTGACAAATAGTATAAATGAATTTTGAAGTATGTTTCTGATAACACGGTTACAATTCAGAGAACTGTTTTAATAAGTGCTATTTATGAGTATTTGGGTGTTTGCAGCTACACAATCAGGACAGATGTCTGGGGAAGGTAAAGCTGGTCCTCCAGGAGGCAGTTCACGTGCAGCATTTCCACAAGGTGGTAGAGGACGGGGCCGTTTTCCAGGGGCTGTTCCCGGTGGGGACAGATTTCCTGGGCCAGCAGGACCAGGAGGGCCACCTCCACCTTTCCCAGGTAAAACTTTTCTTAAGTTTATCATGGAGAAAACATGTCTGCCTAATACCTCTTTTCCTTTTCTCTCTTTTTCAAGTAATGCATTATTAATGTGACTTACTCTCCTTGTTATGCTATTTTTGGAACCCAGGAAATTTGATCAAGCATCTTGTTAAAGGAACTCGGCCTTTGTTCCTGGAAACTAGGATTCCATGGCATATGGGGCACAGCATAGAGGAAATACCCATTTTTGGCCTAAAAGGTCTTTATTTTTCTCCAAACTTGCTTGACTTATATATAGAATATTTACATCCGTCTTATTTTCTTACCTCTTAAAAAATCCTTTCAAGACCATTTTTCCTTGTTTCACTTTCTAGCTTGGCATCAGAGTAGAATATAAGGTGGGTGATTTCACTGTAAGAAAGAAGTGTGTGTGCTCAGAGATGGGAAGTATCTCTAGGTGTTCAGATCTGTTCCAGTCGTAATTTGAATAGTTAAATTTGTGAGGGTACTCTTAACCTTTGTAATTGTTGGTAGAGCATTTAATTTCATTTAAAGAGAGTCATGGTTTATAAGTTCTGCTTTAGAAGTATAATCTTGGCATGTAATAGGTAATATGCTTATTGAAATGTTTTTCTCCTTTTCTCCTTTTATTTTGTAGCTGGACAGACTCCACCACGTCCACCTTTGGGCCCCCCAGGCCCACCTGGTCCACCAGGTCCCCCCCCTCCTGGTCAGGTCTTGCCACCGCCTCTGGCAGGACCTCCCAATCGAGGGGATCGTCCTCCACCACCAGTTCTTTTTCCTGGACAACCTTTTGGGCAACCTCCGCTGGGTCCACTTCCTCCTGGGCCTCCACCTCCAGTTCCAGGCTACGGCCCTCCTCCTGGTCCACCGCCTCCACAGCAGGGACCACCTCCACCTCCAGGCCCCTTCCCACCTCGACCACCAGGTCCACTTGGGCCTCCCCTTACACTTGCTCCTCCTCCACATCTTCCGGGACCACCTCCAGGTGCCCCACCACCAGCTCCACATGTGAATCCGGCTTTTTTTCCTCCACCAACTAATAGTGGCATGCCAACATCAGATAGTCGAGGTCCCCCACCAACAGACCCATATGGCCGCCCTCCACCATATGATAGGGGTGACTATGGTCCTCCTGGGAGGTAAGTTAAACACCATAGTAATGAAACTATCTAGTCAGTAAAAGATAAAGAACTGTGAATGAAATTTATTACATTGTAGAAATGTAAACATAGTTTCTGTCCTGCAGAAAGATCACATTTCTAAGCTTCAGTTTTATTTCAGCCAAAGCACAATTTTGCTTAGATTTGATCTGGTAGGGAAAATAGTATCCTCCAGTTAGGAAAAGTTAGAGCTGTCTCGGAGCAAATGCCAAAACCTGTTAGTGGAGTTGTTTACATTGTTACTAAACGAGAACTTTTGTTAAGTAAGAATTATAACACATGTCTTTTGTAGGGAAATGGATACTGCAAGAACACCATTGAGTGAAGCTGAGTTTGAAGAAATCATGAATAGAAATCGGGCCATCTCAAGTAGTGCTATTTCAAGAGCTGTGTCTGATGCCAGTGCTGGTTTGTATATTTGTTTCAGTATCCATTCTTATTTTTTTTTTTTTTTTTTTTTTTTTTTTGGTTTTTCGAGACAGGGTTTCTCTGTGGCTTTGGAGGCTGTCCTGGAACTCACTCTGTAGACCAGGCTGGCCTCGAACTCACAGAGATCCACCTGCCTCTGCCTCCCAAGTGCTGGGATTAAAGGCGTGCGCCGCCAACGCCCGGCTTCAGTGTCCATTCTTTAATATAACTATTTATGTTAAAAATAACCCCAAACCTAGGGACTGGAGAGATGGGTCAGCCATTAAGAACTGACTGTTCTTCCAAGGACCCTGGTTTGATACACAACCATTTGTTAACTCCTGAGGCTCCAAGGCCTTTTACTGGCTTCTGCCTACCGGCATGAGACATGCTTGTAGTGCATAGACAGACACACATGCAGTCAAAACACCCATATACATAAAATAAAATTAAAAACTTAAAAATCAAAACCCAAAGCTTAAGTGCAGTTTGTAAAGATAGTTGACTTACTGTCTGCAATCTGTGTATTCCCAAATCATTTTCTGTCATTTAATTTTAAAGTGTTGAAGGAAGATACATGTCAGTGTAGTAGAAAGGCCACCAGTTTAAAGTTATTGCATTTACATTTAAATACTAGTTGGGGGTTGGAGAGATGTCTCTGATTAAGAGCATTGGCTGCAATGTGATCCAGTATCCTCCCCTTTCTTCATCAGGTACCAAACACACTCTTGGTGCACAGACATACATGCAGGCAAAATATCCACACACATAAAACAAAATAAAAAATAACTGACTTTGGGAATTGGAGAGATAGCTTAGGAGCTAAGAGCATTGCCTGCACCTGCATAGGATCCATATTGATTCTTAGCACCCACGTGGTGGCTCACAGCCATGGATAACTCCAGTTCCAACGATCTGACTCTCTCTTTTGGAATCCATGGGCACCAGTCTTGCTTTTGATGCAAAGACACATGTAGGCAAAACACTTGTACAAGTAAAAAGATTAAATACTAACAAAAGATCATTTATTCTCATATTTGCAAAATAACTGTCCCTGTGTATGAAAAAATAATTTGTGAATTTCAAAACCCTGAACAAAAGTCCATTGCTTCATCATTCTTACTCCAAAATGGTTGGTTTGATGATAATTTGAAAAAAAAAATTTGTTTGCTAATAGCCTTTTTTTTTCTCCTGCAGGTGATTATGGGAGTGCTATTGAAACATTGGTAACAGCAATTTCTTTAATTAAACAATCCAAAGTATCTGCAGATGATCGTTGCAAAGTTCTTATTAGTTCTTTGCAAGATTGCCTTCATGGAATTGAGTCCAAGTCCTATGGCTCTGGATCAAGGTAAAACTTTCCTGTCTCATGTTTTTTTTTTTTTTTTGGTTTTTCGAGACAGGGTTTCTCTGTGTTGTTTTGGAGGCTGTCCTGGAACTAGCTCTTGTAAACCAGGCTGGTCTCGAACTCACAAAGATCTGCCTGCCTCTGCCTCCCAAGTGCTGGGATTAAAGGCGTGTGCCATCAACGCCCGGCACTTCATGTATTTTTAAAATAGTTAACAGCAACAAAAGTGAAACTTAAAAAAAAAAAAAACAGGACTGTGATTTTACTTACTGTGTACCCAACAGTCAGAGTGGGTTTTTTAAGGTAACTCTAAATGGCATGTCGGTGTTTCCTGAAGCCTTTCAAGGCATCCATTTAGAATAAAGTTACATGCAAGGAACTGTATCGCTTTTGTTTACTCTTAGGCTAACTATACACAAGCACACTGCATGATGGAAACTTCCATACACTCACTGTTCTCTAACCAGATGGTCTCACTGTTCATGGACACATCAAAGCACTGATACCTCACTGATTTTGTGCTTGGAACCATTTTATTTATTTTTCCCTCTCTCTACACATTTATCTTTATTTTTTCTGTTTCAACTTACTCTAGTCTGTCATTCTATTTCTTTTGTAGTATTTACTATAACCATCTATTCTCTATTATTGGTGCTCATTTCTTACTGAACACATGTTGAATGATGACAGGGGACTTAGCTATTAAATATTAAACATTTCCTGATAGAGGATGTTTTTCAAAGAGGGAATTGATGAATGAATGTGTGGTAATCTATTTTGTAATAGAAACAGTTTTATTTTAGATTTATTTATTTTATGTGTATGAATGTTTTGCTGGATTGATGCACTCCACATGTGTGCTAGTGCCTAAGGTAGTCAAAGAGAACATTGAGTTCCCTAGAACTAGAGTTAGGATGGCTGTGATGGTTGTGAGCCATCACGTGGGTACTGGGAATCAAACCCTGGTCCTCTGCAAGAGCAACAAGTGCTTTTACCACTGAGCCATATTTTCAGCCCTTGTAATAGATCAGTTTTTAGAAGCTTACTTTTTAAAACATTTTTACTAACCTTGGGATTTTATGTATTTTGGGAGGTACGTCTTCACATGATGATGTTATCTCTTTTGAGGTGGAGTCTGTGAGACTATGTAGCCCAGGCTGGCCTGAACTTTACAGAGATCAGCCTGCCTCTATTCTGATTATTGTGATTCCACACTCAGCCACATTTTTAATATTTTGATTTCATGTGTGCTGCTGCTCTGCCTGCGTGTGTGGCTGTGTACCATGCTAAAGGACCTTAGATTCCCCAGAACTAAAGTTACAGATGGTTGTGAACTACCATGTGGGTGCTGAGAATTGAACCTGGGTCCTCTATAAGAGCAGCCCGTGTTTTTTACTCCTGAGCTACCTCTACCCATATGATAGTTGGATTGCCCATATGATAGTCTTATATCTGTCCTTAGTAGGAGTTTTCTGTAAGTAGTATTTTTTTTTTTTGGTTTTTCGAGACAGGGTTTCTCTGTATTGTTTTGGAGGCTGTCCTCGAACTCACAGAGATCCACCTGCCTCTGCCTCCCGAGTGCTGGGATTAAAGGCGTGCGCCACCAACGCCCGGCTTGTAAGTAGTATCTTAATTAAGAGAAACAGTCTTTACTTTGTTATTACCTTTTGGGCTCTGTTTAAGTTGTCTCCATATCTGAACCAATTTGTCATAATCTATCAGGCATGCCTTCTTTGTGAGGACATCCCGTTTGATCAAGGAGTTACCTGTTTAAGAAATTATGTGATAGAAGAATTCTTACTTAAACTAATGGAATTATTATGAACTTTGGCTATGATTTGAGTTTTTAGGATGCGGTGGCAAAATTAGCATAAATTTCTTTTTTCTTCATTGTTCATGGATGCTCAATGTAAATAAGCCTTAGCAACTTCAGCATGACTTTTATTTTCACTTTTTTTACTTAATTAAAGGAACAATGTCCAAATTGCCTGTCAGTTTCACTACTTTCACACTCTTACAAGTAATCTAAGGGTTACTTAATCATAAGCACTGTACTACTGTGATACTTGACAGATACTGAATAATTAGTGGGTATGTAGCGTAGAGTGTGTGTATACTAGACAGAGGGCAGGAAGGAGCAGTGTGGTAAGAGATTTCATCATGGTTGCCACAATCTAGGTGGCTTGGGTGTTGGAACCCTGACTAGGGCCTGCACAGGAATAAGGAAAAGGACAGACAACACTTCCAGTAGAGCCAGAATCAGGAAGGCTCTGCTACAGCTTCTATCTGGGACCTGTATTCTATGCATACATTAGGTGCAATTATTGGGAGATAGTAGCTTAGGTAGGTCTCTGTAGAGTAGTGGTTGCAGTCTAAACACATCCCAGAAGAAGCTGCTTTTTTTAGTCTTTACACTAATCAGTTCCTCCTAAACATTCCTGCTAGGACTCTGAGAGGCACTTGCCAGCCCTCCTGAGCCTGACCTTTGTGGGAACCTTCTTTGCCAATGTTAGGTGGGGTTGTTAGGGCCCTCAGAGTCCCCACATAGTTATGGCCATGTCAGAACTTCATTCACTTGGGACTTCTTCCACTCCTACAGCTGATCAGAATAGCGTAAAATGTTTTATTTCTGAGATTTCGCATTTAATATTTTCAGATTGGTTGACTTATAACTGAAACCATGGAAAATAAAACTAGTGATAAAGGAAAGGCAGTTATATTAAATGTCTTAGAAGTTTGTCAGTTATGGAGAGTATTAATCCAGTAATTTTTTTTAGAAGACGTGAACGATCAAGAGAAAGGGACCATAGTAGATCACGGGAAAAGAGTCGGCGTCATAAATCTCGGAGTAGAGATCGTCATGATGATTATTACAGAGAGAGAAGCAGAGAGCGAGAGAGACACAGGGACCGGGATCGGGACCGTGACCGGGAGCGCGACCGAGAGCGAGAATACCGTCATCGTTAGAAGGTGGGCATTCCTTTTTATTATTCTATTCAGTATGTGTGTGTATTAACAGTAATTATAACTCCAAGGCTGTTGTTTATACATACAGTAAATATACCTACATTTTAAGTGGTCCAAGTACTTGTTCTGATTTAATCTTCTGGAAACATCTGAAAACAGGTAAGCCATCACAGGTAAAATATTTTGACCTTTTTCCCTTGAATATTGTACCATGAGTTATCTATGACTTAGATTTCAGATTGTTTGTGGTCTTAAAGCAAGAAAAATAATCAAGAGGACTCATTGTGTACTTCTAAAATTTAGAAATTGGGATTCTTATAATCACATTCATTGTTTCATGTGATTTAACATATTTATAAAATACCAGGGAGTTGTTTCAGATATGAATGTTTTGTGCTTGGATTTTTAAAAATAAAGTTTCTGTCCTTCCTCCCTTGAACTAACATCATTTGTCCCTGAAACTTTTTAAGAAAATTTAACACTATAATAGGGTATAATACAAAAAGGTGTTTTTCAGTATTTAAAGCGGCTTTTTTTTCTTAAAAAATTTCTATAAGGAAAAATCTGCATTTGATTTTTTTTAAAGGAACATTATCTTTTTAATATGTAAAGAAGGTGTAAAGTGGATTCAGGGTACATATCTAAAAAGTTACATTGTGCCAAGCCACACATCCCAAGTTAGAAATAACTGGAACTAATTTTCTTTGTTGTTTCATTCATAAACCATAATCATTGTCTTTTTTTCTGTATTTTAAAATTTTGTGTACATTTTTTTCATAAAGTAGAATGAGTTGTCTGTTTATGCTTCATTTTTACATGTGATTTTATTTTATATTTGTGAACAGTGTTTACTCATGAAGAGTGGGAAAAGAGCACTGCGAATCTTTTGCATGTGACAGGTTATTCTATAAACACCTTTGCTCCATATATTGATGGCATCCTATATATGCAATTACTTCACAGGCGTTTACTGAAAATCTAGTTCAAAAATTGTTGATATTTTATTTGTAATTGGCTTTATCATGTATGTAATTTTAAGACAGCAGTTTCTTTAATGATTGCACACCACATACATACACAGGAGAAAAGAGGTATCTGTAATTTTTATGTAATGTAATAGTTACCACTCTTAACTGTTTAAGGACTTTTTGAAGTTAGGAAGCCCATTTTAATACTTTATCTTGCATTTTGACTATGACCTTGAATATTTATCAAAACCTTTTATTATATGTTGTATTAAAAATTTTAATTCTAAATACATTTATCTACTATTTTTAAAATTACTAAAACTGATAGAAATTGGTAGTTTGAATATAAAATTGATGTCTCATATAAATCTGAACTAAATTTTAAAAAGAAGTTTTTTCATTTCTAGTAAGAATCCCTTAAGGTGGATTCTGGTCATATCATTACTTGAAATGTCCATTTCTCTGTCATTTGATAAGGTACAGATTCTACAAGCTGTATTACTTACTTACTTTTAGACCTTGCAGTTTATCAACTATCTTATAGTTCCCAAAGATATAATGGTGAAGCTTGGATACATTTTGATTAATTCAGTGTGTCCATCGAGGAGCCTCTAAGCCAGTTCATATGTAGAGTTAATTATTAGCAGTTTTCTTAAATGGGTCTTCATTAATTTAGTAAACCAACTACATCCCCTTTGACAGTTTCATTGTTAATTTTATATACTTTGAATTTATAATCCAGTCAAGATTACACACCTAAATGATTTGAGTTCCATGTCTTTCAGACAGTAACTACAATTTCCTAGTGTGCAGTTGTTGACTTTTTTTTGCAATAGGTGGTGTACCATACCCCAAATCCCATGTTTTGTTTGTACATTAATCAGAATTGAGTTGTAATATTGTTGTGTGCCTTCATCCAAGCAAAATTTTACAAAAGCCTTTCAGTGGGGGGTGAGAGGAGGTGGTGTTTTCCTGGATTGTTGTACCTTTGCTATGTGCCAAGCAGTATTTATTATGGAAGTAGATGTAAGAGGGTGGGGGCTGGGATTAAGTACATATTCGAACGCAAACCTATTTGCAAATTATTACCTTATAAGGTCTGTTGACCTCTTTAGAAGTTTTTAAATATGAGTCCTTTTGAATGTTCATGTATATCTTAAATGGAATAAGTTCTTCAACAATAAAGTAAACACGAGTCTTTGTATAAGTTAGTAATGTAACACAGTATCAAGTGATGGTGGGTGAAGGTCAGGGTCTGGAAACTTGGTGTTGGCAGCTGTTAATGTCTGTCTCATCCTAAGTTTTTTTTGTGTTTGAACTGTTGGGTAATGTTAACTGCATTCTCATTTGAAAAATGTATTAGTTTTTCTAAAAGCATTCCACATCCAAGTTCAAATAGATAATAATACTTCAATGAGAAATATATAACAGTTTTGTAAATTTCAGTATGTAAATGCATTGTGCTTAATATTCTGTAATTTTTGCCTCTATTCTCAGACCACTCTGAGCAAAATAAGATGTAAGGTGTGTTCTTACAGAAATAACCCTCCTGTTACAGTTACAGTTGAATTCCTTTCTCTAGATGGTGTTCTTCTGACTGCTTGTTTAGAATAGCCTTGCTCAGGAGTCTGTTAACAATTGAGTTGTGTACTGAAGAATAATGAAAGTGAATTTTTTTCTAGATGATTTTTATTCAGGCTTCTCTTTCTAATTTATGAGATTTACATGTTCTCAAATGATTACATTTCTTTACTAAGTACTATGTTTGGAGTTTGCATTAAGTAACTGTAAGAGTATGGGCATGTGATTACTTTTGGCATAAATGTCATGAACTTGAATTTAATTACTCTAGGATACTTTGTGTTGCTTATTTGATTATTATAGCTTTGTGTTAACTTGGGAAAGACCAAAGAAAACATTTCTTTTATACTAAGATGTTTCATCTTCTTAGGAGTGTTACGTTGAGGCTTTTGTGAAAATTCTTTTCATTACTTGGTAAATAATAACTGACTGTTAACAAGATTTTAAAATTATTTCTACAACTCTTGGGTCATTTGTTACCTGCCTAGCATTCCCAGCCTTGTTTCCCATATATCTCAATTGCTGTGCTTTTTTGTCTTGCTGTGCTGGCTCTCGTTTCTTCTCTGATTTACACAGTGTCTTACTTAGAGTGACAAGAGAGGGTAGGAAGTGATCCCTTGGATGTATGTATAGTGTGTTTTGCTCACTGTGGTTTAAGAATATAGTTTTATTTATAAAAAATTGATGTTTCTGTCTTAAAGAAATTGAATGCCAATGTGAGTCACCTTGCTCTCACCTTCATCTCAGTGTGAACTTTCCTACCATTGTTTAGTTTGTATATTGGATTGTTTTGAATAAGTATTTTTATTTGTTTTAAATGAATATCCAGTTAGAATTGTTTAGAGGAAACCTACTAACCAGTTAAGAAAAGTGCCATTCATGTTATCCAGATGAACATTTTCTGTGGTTAGCAGGTTCTAACTCTTGACAGTGGGTGAATTTTAAATAACAGCTCCTTTTGAAATGTCCACATCTTTTGAGTGACTCTTTGACACAAAGCCTTTTTCTGTTCTTTTTTTTTTCTTTTTGCAATGTAGCTTGTTTCTACCATGTAGTCAATTGCATAGAGCACCTAATTGTGTATTCTGTAGAGTAATAAAATACTTTGGTTGAAATGGGGTAAGTATGATAGGAGAAAAATAGGAAAATATAAACTTTCTGGTAGCTAGAAACTTTTTTGAACACCATCAATAAACAGAATTATTTTTTTATGTACCATGTTCTAGTCAATATGAGAAGAAACTTAAGAGTTAATATAAGTTTAGATGTTTCTGCTACCTGCCTCATCTCCCGTTTTCTCATTAAGGAGACCTTCAAATATAGAAGGTTAAAAATTTACTCATTTCAAAGCATTGCATTTCTAAAATTATGTGAGGGTCCTTTCTAATTCAGCCCATTAATATGAAAAGCTGGGAGCTGCGTGTAGCAGTGACACCTGTGACCTCTGCCCCTAGAGAGACTGATGCAGGAGGGTCCTGTGAACTCTAGGCCAGGCTGGGTTACTACACATGGAGCTGCAGCTAGTCAGGCCTTTCTCTATACTAAGGTCCTGTTTCAGAAATTAAGGCAAACACACAATATAAAAATTCTTATGAGAATCCTATCAAATAAATACTCAAATGCTTTACTTAAAAACATGAATTTTCCATGAGTTTTAAAATACAAGTTGGCATATAACACTCAATTTGAGTTGTTAATAATGGTTTGGTAGTACATTATCTCAAAATGTAGGTATTTCGCTCTGTATTAAAATTATACTGCTTGCTTTAGCTTGCAGATTTTAAAGCTGTAGTTTCATTGTCTTAATTCATTTAACAGCTGTTTACATAGATTCCTTTATAACTGACAGTTAAAGCAAGTAATTGTGTGGCTTTGACATTAGACATTTGGTCAGATACTATTTTGAACATATGGGCATTGAATGTATTTGTCACTTTTAAGGTTTTTGATATCTTTGTTTATGTAGATGTCTGCTTAGACATCTGAGACTATAATATGGAATTGGATTATTGGAATGGTTTGTATTGCCTTCAAATTTTGCTTCCGTTTGAGATTGTAAAATTTGTGTTTATATGTAAAGTGTTTAGAACTAGAAATAAAAATTTCTAGACTATTCCCTAAATTTATGTCTGTATGGTGAAAATTTAAATTTTATTAATCAGTAAAGACCTTTCTATACACAATGTAGCAAGAGATGAGTTCATTAGTCATAAAGAAATGTGTTGTGACCGCACAAACAAGATTTCGTGTATGAAAGTAGTGAAGTTTCCATTAGGGTCATTCAATATGTACCCCGTGGCTCTTTAAAGATTGTGAGTTTCTTCTTCTTCTTTTTTTTTTTTCTTCCTATTCCCACACTGTGACTTTACATATTTTTTCTTTCAGTGATTCATTCTTTATCCTTTATAACACAACAAAAATATTAGGGGAGATAGCATTCCTTTTTTAGTAGGGTTTGTGAATTTCCCTGCAATCTTGGTATCAACTCCAGAGAACAAATAAAAACCTACCAGAATTGTGACCTATAAAATAAAACCTTTGAAAACTGACGTTACAGATTTTTTCCTGTTAAATAATTCCTCCATGTAAGCCTCATTAGCATAACATGAAAGTGAAAGTACAAAAGGAAATGCTATAAACAGCTTAAATGTCTTTCGAAAGCACAGATGTATAGAAAACATTTAGATGAAAAAGACCCTTTCCTTTTGTACTTTTAAGATTTTAAGTTTTTATTAGGAAGTATGAATATGTGTATATATACAGTGATTCTTCTAAAGAGAATCGAACACAAAATTTGTTGTTGCCACAAAAATTATTTCTAATTTTAAAGAAAAGGATCTTTTAACATTTTTTATGACAGAATGCCACTAAGCATTGTGTGCTTTCGAGAAATATTAAAATACCCTTTTAGTATTTGTATTTTAAGTAATTAATATTTCAGTAATATTTTTTAAATTAATGTTCTTCTTTGGATTTACACACACACTCAAAATTATGCACATGTGCGCACATTCCTGAGACTATAGAATCAATTATATTGTTGGCTTCACTCTTCCCCCTTGATGTAAGTTTTCAATGAAATTTATCATTGTAGGTTCCTATTAGTTGGTGTTTGGTTAGTTGATATAGGTGAAATAGAGTGAAAGTAATGTCTCAGAATTGTATTATGTCTAAAGATTTGTATGTGGATGTCATATTTAATGTCCATGCTAAAGTATTTATAAATTTTGTAACATGGAACACCATTGGTTTATAACAAATTGGCAGAAGTTCATGTATGCTGTCAAATACAGTTAATTTGTAAATTTTATTGATTTTATATTCAGTTCAGCATTTGTTAAATGAATTGTGTGGATGAATGAAAAAAAAGTAGCTACATTCAAATCCAAGCATTTTCCCATTTATTTTGTAGTATGCATATTTTAGAAAATGATTTATGGCTGTTCTCATCATCATGGAAACAGTAGCTGCTGTATTTTCATTTGTTATTGTAATTGTTTTCTTTAAAAATTGGCATATATTGTACAAAATAATGGTCTTTGTATGACAGTCACTGAATTTTAAAGGCAATAATATGTAAAAAGAATGAAATGAGAATTTCTCATTTTGAATTTGTAAATTGGGAGCATTTCTCCACTATGCAAGCAGCTACTGTTTGAGTTACTTTTTATTTTGTGTTAGAATACCTAACAGTGAGTAGATGCACGACTTGTGTATGTATAGCTAAGCCAACATTTTTCTGTGTATTCTGGGGAATAGCAAAATCTACATCACAAATTTTGACACATTACAGCTGAAGGAAGAGGAGGAACACCTTCCAAGACAAAACAGTCTTCATGGGGGAAAAGTGACGCTTGTCCAGCAGTTTGCTTCTTGTGATTGAACTGAACCTGTAAGGATTCATGGATTTACTGAACAGGAATAGATCTGAATAAAGCAAATCTGCATAAATGGTAACCAGTAGCTCTACTTTTATTTTTTATGTTGCTTAATTGTTTTATTTGAAGGAAACGTGTGATTTAAAAAAAGTTAATAGCTTTTGCAACTTTATTACTGGTTATATATATTTGGCCATTATAATGTGCAAGCAATTGGAAAAACTTCAAGTACATGCTTGTTTTTATAGTAGTTTGTTCTTGTTAAAATGTTCATATGATAATGTCTGTAAACAGCACCACTTTGATTACAATAGATGTAGTGTTGTAATAAACTGTTGAATGGGGCTGATGTGTAAAGCTGTTCAAGTTATTTGATGTTTACACCTCAGGGAAAGTCTTGTGTGCAGCAATATCTAAAGATAATGTTATTATGACAACATTTTTACTGTCCTTTAAAAAAAGCATTGCAATAGGGTGTTTGGATATGCATCAATCTAATCTTGCGTTCAGTGAATTAAACATAACCAATTAAGTGTCTCGCCCTTGATTTTGATATTAGGATAGGTAATTACATGGATATTTAATATTTCTATATTCTGCTTTTCTAGCTGTTTTTACCTAGTTAGCTTGTGAATTTGCTGAATGGTATGTAAACTTGTAAAAACTGAAATTTGGCAGATATAGCAATTCAGTGAATGTGTTAGGGGTGAAAAATTTGAGGTTGTAACATTTTTGGTAAAGACTCTTGTATTTGCTACAATAGTGCAGCTCACTTATACCCCACATGTGCTGAGACAGCTAACCCTGAACTGCTAGCATTCAAGAGAGATTTGGTAGTTCAGATCTGACACAGTAATTTACTGTTTCATGCTGATGGTGCCATAGGCAGTGTAAATACAGTCCAGCACATAATCGTAAGGAAACCCTAGTAGTCTACTGGGTAGAGATTCTGAAGGGTGTGATATTTATTAATGTTGGGTTGTATTCTTCAGTGTGAGTAATGGGAGATTATAGTTGCACCCTGTCCTCATGGTTCAAGAAATTCTGTGTATATTCCTGTTACCCTCTTGATTTATGTTGGATTAGAGTTATTGATCAGTTTATTCTTTTTTTAAGCTGGCCTTAATAAAAGGCTGTATTAAAAGCACCGGCTAGCATGTGTTGTGCAAAATTAGCAGAGACAGACTGTCAACTTGATTGCCTATTTTTTTTTATAGGAAGTTAAAACCCAAGTCACTAAAGAAATTTGAGATAAAATCCTTAAGCTAATTTGTTTTAAATATATTTTAAAGATCTTATTACTCATGAGAGATCTTTGGATAGTAAGGCATTGACTTTTAAAGTTTGTCTAAATTTAAGGGCAATGCTAAAGGTACTCCTGTACTGAAGATAGAGATGAAGTGCAGCTCAAGAGGCTTGCACTGCTGTTTTTCAGGTTCGTCCTGTCTGCTCTTACCTTTGTTGAGAGTTAGTTTCAGAGTATCCTTCCACTGCCAGTTCATTTAAAACATTTTGTGAGCAGAGTATTTTTGCAAGAGATCATTGGTGTGTACCAGAACTGTTAGCTCTCAGAAGTGCTTTTTCTTAAGCGTTTAATCTTGTTAAAATGCAAGTTGCCTTTTATTTTGAGAGTTGTATCAAAATCTGTTTTCTTGTTTTGTGTATAGGTATTGTAAGCTTTTGTCATTTCTTAGCTTTTTTTAATAGTTTAATTACAATACCCTAATGTGAAGACGTTTGGATATACATATGTTTACAAGGGAAATTAGGTAATAGTAAGATTAAAAGGTAAGTAAAATGTCCACTAGATAAATTTTTCTCTGAACACTTTTAAATGGAATCACAAATATATATACTTGAAATGAAACTGGAGATTTTGTACTAATTTTAATCCTTCATTACCTTTTCTCTTTTTTTAAATCAGTGGAACCCTCTAATTGCTTCCTTTATGTTACCCTTCTCCTTGCTTGACTTATTTCATTAAGTGGCTTTGGTTGCAGATAGTGTCAGTGTACTAGAGTTGCTTGCTGCTGCTAGCCAATAAGTGTTGTCAGGAAGAAATAAAACAACTTTGGTTTGACTAATTTTGCAGTCTCCTACCTGATAACACATGAATGTATAGCAGTAAAAGTAAAAAATTCAAACCATGTTTTCTTTGTCAAAGCCCTTGTGTTATTTAGGAGCCATTGTTATTTGAAAATTTGTTTTTGATGTACAAAAAACAATCCAAAGAGAAGTCTTTGCATAGACACTAAATAAATAAATAGCAAAAAGGGAGAGAATGAGGGAGTCTTAAAAATGAAAAGTCATTCAGTGGCGATGGAAACAAGTTTGCTTGATTTTATTCCGAATCCCAGCATTGTCCAGTGCTGTGCAGTCACATTCCTCAGCTAGCGGGAAAGTCATAGATGCGTGGTAAAGCATATGCATGCTATTTCTCCTGGAGCAGCACTCTGAGTTCATTATACTGCTTTGATGTAAAGGAAGTATGTTTGTAGAAACATTATTTCAGTGTAAATTCAAAAATGTTTGTATTTTGTCAGTTTTCAGCAAGATTTTGAGTAGCTTTCTATAGCTATTGAGCATATATGTTACCCCATGTAATGGTTCCATTACTTAGAATATTCTTAAGCAGTAAACTACAACTTGGAATTCACAACATATAGCTTAAGATATTATTTTCATTTGGTTCTCCTATGGAGAATGTTGCTTTAGTTTTACAAGTTTAAAGTCAGTTCTAAAAATAAACATGGAGGTTTTAATGAACATTAGATAACGTTTTATAGTGAAGGAGAATTGTTGGAAAGGTTAATTCTCTTTCCCTGTGTTTTGAAATGTGCCAATAACCTAAGTACATTCTGTTTGATACGAGATGCTACTTCAAGGCTCTTCTTTTGGAGTGTTCTTGATTTACATTCTAGTTTTGTTACCTAGGTGGTCATTGCATTATCTGTATCTTACAAGCCCCAGTGTTGCGTTTTAAGCTTCAGTTTAATTTTTTTAAAAGCAGTTTTCGTTCTGATTCTTTACTGAAAATACAGTGTTGAGATTCTTGCTGTTGCACAGATAACTGATTTTTAAATTTTATTCACGGAAGTTCATTTGCATCCCATAGCCCTCTGTAAATGATTCCCCCAGTTGTATGTACATACTAAATGCACGCTTATCCATTGTACATATTAGACATTTTTTTGTGCTAAAATATTACCAAGTAGGATTTTTGTAGCAAAGCATTTTATTTTTATGTTCTTATAGTATTTGTGTTAACATTAATCTTCAGTTCGAACACTGGTGTATTTATTTTTTTAGCAACTTGACTCCTAGAAGCCTTAGACTAATTTTTAAATGAATATTCAACCAAAAATTATAAATTTATTGAGATGTGGCCTTATATATGGTATTTCTTGTGTTTATAATGTGATTTTTTTTAAATTTAGATTTTATTTAAATCAAGATTTAGAATTAGTTTCTTTTTTGAGTCAAAATAGAATGTATTAAGTGTCTAGGCTTCTGGGAGGAAGTTCTTATACTCTTCTTTCTTTGCATTAGAAAGAAGCAATATGACTATGAATATTCAGAATATTCAAGCCATTGTGTTATATTCAGATTGACTTAGGTTTGTTTTAACCCAATGTTTCTTTAAAAGTTGCAGGTTGTTGTCATTCACTGAATATACAGCTACTATGGTTTTTGTATGGGATGTATGAACTCTTGTTACATTATTCCCAGATTTCAGTGTTTTCAAAACTTCCTGTTACATTAATTATACTATAGTGGGGGGACTTTGAAAGAATTAGGTAAAATTTAATTGAAGTCACACAAATCTTGAATGGTATCTGTGGATAGTAAATACTACGAGCAGTTTTTCATGTGGGAATACCTTAAAACTCCACCATGGGAGTAAATTACATTCATAATTGGACAGACCATTCATTTTAGTAAAAATAGTTCATTCTGAAGGTGTATTTTTTGTTACACTGTAACTGCATAGCACTTCTCAGCATTTCTGTATGCAGATTATTTTAAAATGCAGTGATAAATTCATGTTTATTTTTTTTACTTTGGAAATTGTGGTACTCAGGTGGTATTTAATAGGAAATGGCCCTTTGGAGTGGATCATAATGTATTTTGAGGACTGCATCTATAATATTTAGGACTTTAGCCTTGAAAAGTTCTATTATTTCTCCCCTTGTCTCCCATGGTGTATTAGCAAAGTAGTTTACAGCCCAGCACAGCCTTACAAAGTTGTTTTACAATTTTTAATGGAAAGCCCTTAGCAACAAAAAAATTGTATCATATTCCAATATCCGTGAATTATTGAATAATCACCCTTTGTAAATAAGTTGTCTGATAATATCAGAAGGCCAAAGAAAGTCTTGAGATTTTAGCTATTTAATGTGGTGTGGTGACTTCCTAAGAGTTCTGTGCAAAAGGTAAGGTGAAATTCTATCAAGTAGGCATCCTTTTGATGCCCGTGAAAGCTAGACTTCATATTAGCTTTTTTCAAAAGACATATTCCCATCTTATTAAAGTGTCTAGAGTTGCAACGTTGTGTTAATGTTTACTTTGTCTTTTCTTCCTTTAGCATTTAGGGACTGTTCAGCAGTTTGCTATACGGTCATTGTTGGCCTTAAACTGCACTAGTAACAAGCATGGTGTTTATCTTGTATTGAAATAAAAAACAAAGTTTTGATAATACTTTGTAGTTTGTCCTTTTTGTTTGACTTATAATTTGTTTTGTTCAACTTTGATATCTATTGGGAGACTGCAGTATTAACAGAGATTAGACTATATTTTGTCTAAGTCATCCTCCTTGAGTTATCAGTTAGCTATACCCTTGTGTAGACATTTGACTGTCAGACCAGAGGACAAACATAGAGGGTTAGTTCTTGCTTTCAACCTTAAGATAGCATGTCCCTTGTTTTCTTACTGCACACTTTCGGGCTAACAGGCTTGTATCAGATGGATGAGTACATTACTGTATTTTGTTTTTTTACTTGGGTTCTAGGAATTTGTCATCAGGCTTTTTGTGGTAAGCCCATTTGCCTGATGAGCCCTCTTGTCTACCCAGATGGGCCTTACATTAAATGCGGTTCCCACACAGCTCATAGGAAAGCTTTGGCTTATTTCCTTAACATTATACTGAAACATGAAGAGCAAGACCTGGTAGATGGATACACTGGCTCTCTAGGGGGAGAGGGTCTAGTCCTCTTGACTGGAGGGTTCATTGTGCTGTGTAGTAGGGATTTAAAATGTTTGTCTGAAGCAGGTAGTACGAACCATGAGTGGTATGGGGTTTAGTAATGCCAGAGCTGGAAGCTTACAAGTCCTGAGAGTCAGTGAGATGGATCATTTGGAAAAGGCATTTGTAGCCAATCCTGAAGACCCGAGTTCCATCTCTGAGCCCCATATGATCTAAGGAGAGAACTGACTGCTTTATGTTGCCTTCTCTACACAAGCACATTGGCACACATGCACATAATTGTAAAATTACCTTCAGCATCACAGGGAGTGACTAATGTGTATGAAGTGGCACAGTTCAGTTAGCTTTTAAAGACCTCTGCTGCAGATTAAATTAGGAAAAGAGAAGATGAGGTAGGTAGTCCAGTGAACTTCACAACTCTGTGTATCAGGAGATGGAGTAAAAAGGGACAGAAGGTACAGGAGGTAGTGTGCAGGGACAGTGGAATAGAGACAAGGGGCAAAGATGAAGGGCCTGGGTAACACCAGTGACTAAGATGAAGTGCATTAGAAGACATTCACAGACTACATTAGACTGCTGTCAAAGAAATGGTAATCATGTAGCCATGTAATTCTGAGGTTGGGACATGGAGTTAAGTCTTACGTTACAGTTAAAATGGAGAAAATTCAATCTTAAGAGTTTGGACAGTCATAAGGAATGTGAGGAGTCTGCTTTAGCAAGCAAACTGAAGATATTCGTTGAGCTCAATAGTGTGAAGAAGTACCTTTTTTGAGGTTGGTAGGAAGAAAAGTTCTCAAAGGAGACTAAATACACGGAAGGCTATGGGTTTGTACTTAGGCAAAAAGAAGTTTGTGATACTTACACTTAGTGACCCACCTACTTTGAAGTAGAAATTGAGAATATTGTATAGGTGTGGCTTACACTTAGGAGAAGTAATATTAATCCTTAACTTTATCAAGACTTTGTAAGTGTATCTAAGTTTAGGTTCCATGTATTGGTGGCAGTTGACTCACTTGCATCTGTTTCCCAGAAGGTGGATGGGTAAAACTTTGGATGAAGGCTGTCATCTTCACTTGGCAGTTTACCCATGGCTTCCTATTTGAGGAAGTATGTTGTTTAATGAGTTTTGTACTTCTTGCCTTTCAATTCTTACTCATACTATATAGTAGATTTTATGGAGGAAGCCCTGAGTCCTGACTAGCAGCAAAGTGATTGGAGGCTAAAAAATGCTCTTGGTAGTCTAATTTCTCAGTTATTTGTCCATCCCTATAAAGACAGGCCCCGTTGCCATATTGATACCTGAACTGTAATGGGGGATGTATTTGTAAATGTTGACCTCCACAAATCTTGGCACATTCTCCCTCCCTAGTTACCTGTTCCACTCAGTCTCCCCTTAGAAATTGGAGACCTCCCCACCTTTAATTTATCACATTTCACACCCAATACATTAGGACATCTACTATCCATGAATACTAAGGACCATTCCATATAGTCTCATGGCTTTCTACCCTTGCTACCACATAAATCTCTTTATAGCACAGACAGGCAGTAGCCCCAGGATCCTGCAGTGGCTCCCCATTTTTGTAGTAAGCTGGGGTGCTTAAGATAGTCTCATTCAGACTGCCTTTGAACTCAGTGAGCCACCCCACCACCCCATTCTCAGATAGTAATGCTCATGTGACACTTGAATTTATCATTTGTAATAAGTGTCTTTATCTTAGTACAGATCTCTTCTAAAAGTAACTTCTTCAAATACATGATTAAGAAAATAAACAGTTTTGAGCACATTAAATTGCCCCGAATTCACCTTTGCGGTTGTATATGAAACTACATCTCTCTCCCCATCCTCTGAATCTTCAGTGATAAGTTGGGTTCCCCCTCCCCACATACTGTTTTTAGTTTTTATAGTGATAAGTTTTTACATTCTAACTCTTTTTTTTTTTAGTCATTTGTTTTGCTTTGTAACATTGGAGAGCCAGTCTATGGCTTTTTAGTAGTAGGCAACCACTACCAAGTGAGCCGTAACCTATGTACTTTACTGTTAGTAATGTACTGCCATCTACTGATAGGTCTGTGTAAGTTTTGTACATTGTGTAAAAGGTAAGTCCATAATACTTTTCACTTGGGAAAGCATTTCAGTAGAGACTCAGGGTCTGCCATGCTTGGTGATGTCCACCTTTAATGTCAGCACTCTCAAATCTGTAGGTTCAAGACCGGTGTGGTACATGTAGTGAGTTCCAAGACATCCAGGCTGCACAGTGAGACCTTATCTCAAAACAGCAAAAAGGAGCTTCAGAGCCTGTGGTAGCTAATATTGGTTGTTAACATGGCAGGGTACATAGTCACCCAGAAGGCAAACCTCTGGGCATACCTATGAAGGGTTATCAACATGGTTTACCTCAGCTGTAAGTGGCACCACTTCATGAGCTGGGGTCTTAAAGGAAAAAGTACTCTACCACTGATTTATATCCCAGGCTGTCATTTAACATTTAAAAGATAAACTACTTTTTTGGGCATGGGGGAATGTTTTGTTTTTGTTTTCCCCGAGACACGGTTTCTCTGTGTAGTCCTGTCTGTCCTGGTTTGTAGATCAGGCTGGCCTAGAACTCACAGAGATCTACTTGCCACTACCTCTTTAGATTAAAGGTGCGCATCACCACTGCCTGGCTTAAAGATAACTTACTAATATTTAGGTATTGGGCGACCTGCCTTGTATGGTGGTAACAAAACACTTTGAGGGAAGTGTGGGTGTGAGCGTCTCTGGGATTGAAGTTAGGTCATGGGGCTGAGTTTAGTCCCAGGGATTTCAAAACAACAAAAACCAAACTTTCCCCACCAAGCCATCTCCCAGGTTCTCGTTTAAGGTTTGTTTTTTAAACAAGTGTGTGTTGTCCTCAATTCTGAATAAAATTCTCAACTGTAGGTCTGGACTTGCTGAGTATGGGAAATTAGTTTGCTCTTAGCCCGAGGTGTCTCCCAATGACAAAAATGATGAAGGTACAGTATGCTTTAGCATTTGAAGAAAACCTTGAACTATCTAAGAAAGGCAATAAAGTACTAGCACATACTGGCCATTCTTAAAGAAACATTAGTTGTCCTGAATAAAGTAGAGATTATGCATTCTGGCCACCTCAGTGCTATTGCTTATGTACATTAAAACCCATTTGGGTTCCTTCCTTTTTATAATTAAACTATTTTATATACATTGATCGTGAGGAGCTGCCATAGAGGTACTGGGAATTAAACCTGGGTCCTCTGGAAGAGCAGCCAGTGCTCTTAACCATTGAACCATTTCTCCAGCCCCTCGGTCCCTCATTATTTTGAGAAATAGAGTAGTTGATTTGTTCATCTTGGAATACCATTGAACCATTTCTCCAGCCCCTCGGTCCCTCATTATTTTGAGAAATAGAGTAGTTGATTTGTTCATCTTGGAATCAAGGGAGAATATGACAGGAATTATTTTAGGAGCTATTTACAAATATGCAATGTGAAGGAATCTGCAGATAAGTTAGAATTAATAATTGAGCATGTTCATTGAATGTAGAATCAGTTTAGAAACCAGTGTAGCTAATGTGAAATTTGTAAGTGTGATGTCCTTTTGCTGGAAGTATTAAACCTTTATTGGAAGACATTAAGATAAATGAAGATCAGTCATGTGCTATTTTATGAAGAGATAGTATTGTAATAATACAATTCCTCCTAAATTAGTTTTTAGAATTAATGCAAATTTAATTAAAATCCCAGGGATTTTGTTACTGAGTGTAATATGGGAGTTGAGAGGCAAATGGGTACCAAGAAGGGAGAGACAGGGTAGGGCTTGTTCATAATAAAGTAGATAGTACAGTAGTCAGATTCCTAGAAACAATGTGGAGAGATAGAAACCATATGTGTGAACCTTTGAGGTAGAACAGAGTGGGAATTTCTACAGACTACTGAGATGCAGATGTTACAAGATATTTACCTCATACTGAATATAAATACCAACTCTGGGTGGGCTAAATAAGCACTTAATGTTAGAGGCATTAAAAGTGTAGACTATTTAAATTGGTGATGTTGGATTGCAGAAGTTTGCTGTATTTGTTTGCCTATTCAAACAGGTCTTGCATTATAGCCCAGGCTGTCTTGAATCTCACTGAATAAGTAACTTGGGCTGGCCTCTTAATTCCTGGCAGTCCTGGAATTGACATTCATGAGCCACACCTGCTACAGAATTATATTTTTAATACAGACTAGTAAAAAGGGGAAAGACCAAATATTGGATACATTAGGCACTAATGATAATTTAAAGTGTAAAGAGGAGTTCTATACTGGGAGAAGATAACTTGAAATACACAAGTCATTAAAGACTGATAAAAGGGGACTGAGTAGGCTACAGCAATAATAGTATTTGTGTATATAATGACTTAGGTTTTGTCTCCAGCACTGTAAAATAAGATAAATTATGGATCTATCATAATAAGGAAAATATAACATTGAAAATGAGTAACAAACCACG